TTTGTCCACAGTGTGACAAATTTGGCAGCGTTTTTGTATCCGCCTGAAAGACCCTGCAGGGGAATTCACCCGACGCCCACCTTTCCAGGAATCTGCTCAACTGAAATACACATAGATCTGACTTTACCTCTGTCCTGGGGAGTTTTTCAACAAAACTTTACTGACAAATGTCATAATAAATCCTGACTTAACTCGCACTCAGGTCAATCAGGTCGTACAAACATCATGAGCTTTGGTCATGCACCACTACTTCCACATTCCACCATTTTTATAAGTTACTATGTAGTGAACTAGTTGTCCATGCATGTTACAGTTTACAGTCTCTGTCCCTAGTCCGTCTACAAACCCCTCAATGATGAGAAAAGTCCATCCTCTCCGTCTTCTCCCTGCTCCACTTTTCAGAAAATGTGTGCTCAAACAGGCCGTTTGGAGATGTTCCCTTCATGACATCACAAAGGGCAGTAGCCCCTCCCCCAGGTGGGTGACACTCCCACAGCTAGGTGTTTGTTCTGCCCTCTGAGTCTGCCTTCTCACCGTAAACAATAGGACATGGAGCGAGAAAGCACCAAGTACACCCGAGCCCTTCCAGAGAGGGGGCGTGGTCAGACACAGCTCATTTACATATTTAAAGGTACAGACACAGAAACAGCCTGTTCTGAGCAGGGCTGAAATAGAGGGGTTTATAGACATGATCAAATACAGGATCAGAGTGGATTTAGAACAAGAAACTTCACACACATGTTTTAGGAACAACCTGAAGAAGAGGAGGAGGATATGTGACCTTGAAGTCTAAAGTCACAAACCCTGAGTTGTGCTGTGACTTCACCTCTGTCTACCTCACTAGTTTAATCGTCACCGTTCTTCATGCGCAGATAAAACTCATCTTCTCTAATATAAGAACACATCTTTGATTGAACCTCATCCTTTACTTCCACTGACTGTGACTAGAACACGCTGATTCAGAGGAACTCTTTATGAAGACCTACGAGCCCGAGAGAATAAAACAAGTCAAATGTTCAGAAGAAAAGAGTTGACCTGCCTTATCTCCACTTGCTGTAATATATACTGTATCACCCAGCCCACTATATCACTGTAAAGCCCCGAGCTCCTCTTCACAGCTTAATAAATATTAGAAACTGAAGTGAAGGAGCTCTGGCGCACGCCCCAGTCCTCAACCTCAGCTAAAATAAAAATAACACCATTAAAAATAAACTCAGAGTGGATTTCTTTACCGTTGCTCTCTCTGTGTTTAGTTGAACTCATTTAAAAAAAGGCTCCTGTTTCTCTTCACCCCATCTCACCTGATTGATTGCACTCTCTCCTTTGTGTGCATCCTTATTATCAGATTTTACTGCCAACACTCATCACTGCTTTGCAGTCCTATAATAGTGCGAATAGAGCTCATCTTAAACAAAACCACAACCTTGGTTGAAGAGCTTTATGTTAAAGGGGGAGTACCTGGAAGAGATCAAAACCATAAATCATCCGGATGTGAAAACATAAAGCCTTTTAACATGAACTCTGAACTTATCTGGATATCAGCAGTTGAGATGTTTATAAGAATGCATGTTTCTCAATCAGCTAAACTGTACCTTAATCTGACTTTCAGCGGATGTTTGAACGTTGCGGTTCATTTGCAGCCTTCAAATGGAACGAGAACAATCATGAAGTCGATTTGTTTTCCTCATGGCCAGCACATAGGGCTCCCCTCTGAGAAGTCACATGTTCATCTTCTGAAAGTACATTTTATACAGCCTGTTCTTCACCTGCCTAAATTAGCATCAAAGCATATATCATAACCATCTATTACAGATGAACTTAGCTCGCCAAGCTAGCATTAGCATTAGCTAATTAGTGTTTCCTAACCTCTCACTGATCTCCAAGTCCACACTCTTGTGGAGGCAGAAGATATTTCTTGCCCTTCAGCATCAATGTCGATTTGTTTTTTGATCCGTCAGAGTCTCAATGTGAAGGAGAAACTCTGATGTAAGCTATCAGAATCATTTTTTTCAAACAAGAGCTTTGATTTTGTTAAAAGATAGAAACACTGTATTGTCATATTTTGCTCTTTTAGCCAGTGACACTGACATTATGAAGCCAAGTTTCAAAGATTTTTCATGATTTAAATTGTTAAATGAAGTGTAACAAAGACCTTTAATATAAACTGTAGCACCAGCATCAAACAGTAAAACACCAACAGTGTCTCCTTCAATGTGGCTCATCTTTTGCTCTCTGCCAAGCCCCAGCTGTTCTGAACTCTTTATTTATAAGGTCGACATGTGTGTGTTGGCCGTGGGACGTGTTGCTGCTGACCAGCCCAGATTCACCAAATACCACACAGAGACACTGAATGTACCAAGATACCAAACTGCTGACGCGTCAACATCGCAGGCCGACTCTAACCTTCAAGTGACCAGCTCCAACAGGAGGAGACTGGTTCCCCTTTCATCTCACATTCACAGCTCCGTCCCGAGTCAAAGACACACCAGCAGGTCGGCGGGGTGACTTTTTCTATTAAACTGCCAAAAAAGGAAACATGAGAAGAGAAACGTTTTTGTGTTGATGATCGAGCCAACAGATTCAACCTGTGCTCAGTCAACAGGGGGTCAGAATGAAGAGCTGTGCCTTCGATTGTGAACAGTACTGGACTGGACAATCCTCCCAGTATTCTTCAGACATTTGTGAAAACAGCTCTGGTGATGTTTTTTTTTTAAATTGCTCAGTCAAGTTTGATAATTGCTGCTGTGATTAAATCTGGGCAAGGCAATTTATTTTAAAAGATTGTTTTCAATATTATTGTTGAAATTTTCATCACATCTCAACAGCGATCAATAAAGCCAAGACGACTAACAATAAAGAAAGAGAAAAACACAAAAACTGCATGCTTTGTCATGAGCATGTTGATAAGATGTCTACCTGCCTGCCTGCTCTCTACCTGTGCACTAATTGTTCATGTGTGGAGTCTTTTACAAGCTAAACCTATTTGCATAGCGGGGGAGTAGGAGAGGAACCTTTTTCAAGTTGCTAACCTCAGTTGAACTCTTCCTGCATGAATCACCTGATGAAAACTATGTCCTGCTTTTACTCATGAGATATGAAAGAGTGAATGACCACATGCTAAGGTCATAGAGTTTTATTTATGATGTCACCTGGGTGGGACTTGCTTTGGAATAACCAGCTGTCTTGCTTTATGAAGGATTGTCACAATAACATGACACTGAAAGATTATAGGGTCGCCTGTGGCCTAGTGGTTAGTGCATGTGCGTTAGTCCCCTTGTATGGAGGCCATGGTCCTCCGAGCAGGCGACCCAGGTTCGGATTCGGTTCCTCATTCTCTCTCTCCATGATTTCTGACTCTATCCACTTTCCTATCTCTACCATGATGGCACAAAAAGCCCCCGCCCCCCCACAAAATATGAACCTGAATGACACTGATAACTTTCTGATAACATGGCAACAGAAATATAAGTCCTAAGCAACCAATGTTTCTTGTTTTTACTGACCAAAAACTGCAGGCCAACTCCTGCAAACTGCCTAAATTGAACAAATATTTCAGCAATGTTTGAGCACCTAAACTTTGCCAACTTGTTTGTGCATTTAAGACCGTGCTCTGCCTCTTTCACACATGGCAGCTTTGTGTCAAAAATATGTCTAAAGATCCTTAAAGCTTCAGTTCCTTTTGAAACTATCGGGGACAAAAATAACTGCGGTAACTACTTATTTTGGTATCGACAAGTATAGAAGGTTTTGACAACCTTATGAGGAAGTAGACAAAGGGCCAGCTCATGTCATAATGGTTCTATGGATGAGGATTTTAATGCTTTGCATGCACTAAATATTGCAGATACTTTAAGTTTGCTTTTAGGGCCTTTATTGGATCGGACAGCTGAAGAGAGACAGGAAATGTTGGAAGGAGAGATTGGGGGGTGACATGCAGCAAAGGGATAAGTTTGGATCTATCTTTTTGGGGTATATCTGACACCCCAAAAACTGCAGATTCTAAAAACAAAACCATGGGAATAATTGTGGGAGCAGGCATTGAGGCATTAAGTCCAAGCTGCCTCAACTGACCATAATGCATTGCTGTCAGGAGAAATGTTTGAGTTGAGGCTACTATTCTCATTCATAATCTTGCTTTATTTTTCAAGCTTTAACTACAAGAGGTTCAGAAGTGTTGTCTGAGGGGTGCTGAAAGTTAACATAGGGGAGGTGGGACATCAGGAAGAGAAGCATGAACTTTTAAAGAAGGTCGATGCATCTCATAACTCCATCAAAATAACATATTGATCATAAATGAGGGCGGGACTTTAAGATTGGGCTAAGTGGTTTAATATATGCAGCATCAAACTTCCAGTCACTTCTTTACATCTAAGTTTTGTTGTCCTATGGTGGCCTTTTTCGTAAAACAACATGTTATGCTAAAAATATCTTGGAGCTCTGGGATCGTGAATCCGATAGATAATCCCTGGAATTGGGACAGGCATTAATCCCCTGCTTGCCCATACGCCATGCCTCAGAGTGGACCACAACACTACGAGTACCTACAACAAAACAAACACAACATGCACCTAGCCTGGAGACCCCCCCGGGAGGAGGTGGGGGGGAGAAGTTTCTAGAAGGTCTGGTTTTTGGGGGTTATTGGGGGGAAGACTTCAGCCTCAGTGAGGTGTGTGGTGGTCAGATGGGCTCAGAGTTAGTTTGGTGTGTGTGGGAGGAGGGAGGAGGGAGGGAGGGTGTGTCTGCAGGGCCCTGATGCAGCACCACAGATTTGACAGCTGTGTTTATATCTGAGGTACAAACTAAGACCTGATAAAGCAGGCTGCAAGGGAGACACCCTGATGAGTTCAATGAGCATGGGAAATCAGAGAAAGTCATGGAATATGAGGCATGATTTTTGGTGATCCGCATGCTGAGCTAACCACACACACACACACACACACACACACACACACACACGCAAACACACCACTACTACTACATGTGAAGAGAGATGAACTTACTCGTTTCTAACGTATCTGGTCTCATGAAACACTTTATCCAGCTGGATCACCGCCTGTCCGAGGAACATGTCCAGCCCGATGAGCGCCCGGTGCATGACGGTGAGGACCAGCTCGTTGCTCCCGGCCGGATAGCTGCTGCGCCCGCCGTTCTCCAGCACCCCGGGCTGCAGCTCAAACGAGCACTCCTCCCTCCAGTCCGGCTCGGTTGTCTTCTCCACCACGCCGGTCGAGTATTTCTCCTTGCCCAGCTGGATGATGGTGTACACGTCGCTGGTGCCGTGTTTGCCCTTGCCCCGTAAGCCCCTGCCTCTTAGCACCGTCACCTGGACGTGTGTCGGTACCCATTTCTGGTCCTCCTCCACGGTTAGCGAGGACATGTCCACCCCCCCCTCCCTCCAGACCAGACAGACCCACCACCGACCGTCCGACCTGCCGCGACGAGGCGAGGCTACCGGGGAGAGGTGGTGCTGTTGTCCGCCGCTTCCTCCTTGCTCTGGTGTGTGTGCACAGTCACATCAGCTCCGGGGTCGGCGGGCGGTGCCGCATTATGGCTACCGTCTCTGCAAAGTTTTCCCTGGGCTGCCGGTTGCTTGTTGTCCTGGCGTGCTCCTCTGTGTGTTCGTAGCCTAGCGGTGTGCTCTGCGGCTGCAGCAGCGTCCGTCCCTGCCTCTCTCCTCCCGCCGTGGTACGGGCCTCTCTGCGGGCAGCGACGTCACGCCTCCATCCTCCTTCTTCTTCTGCAGGACGAGGAAGTTCAGATCCGACACAACACATGGGCTGTCTGTGCAACCACCACAATATAAGTGTGTGCAGGAATGTAGGGTGTGATATTCCTCCTGCTGTTCTTATTTAACCAAACGAACTTCAGACTGAAAGAATGTGAAACTCTTCTCCTGTCCTCCTGTCCACACACGGTGCTGCAGGCCTCTGTTATACTACAAGCTGCAAAAAAAACAGTATTTTTAAAGCCACACTCAAAAACAATGAGGTTATTTAAAGTTCCCCCCATGTGTTTACAGCAACATAAATATCCTTAAATATCTCCCACATGATGATATCTGACTTAGTGCCACAAAAACAGAATATTTCATCATCAACTACTATTCTTTGAATTAATTTGTCCCAAAATAAGGCAATGAAACATTAAAACACAGCCCGAGGTTATATCAAGATTCTAATGTTGTCTATCCAAAAGTCTAAATTCCATTTTTACTCTTCAACAATAAAAGCAGTCACATATTGTGTTGGAGAAGCTGAAGTCATTTTTAGCTTGAAGCAGACTAAATTGATTATTTTATACTCAACAAGTTCAAGTTCAAGTTATCTTTATTAGTCAAATGCACAACATAACAGGCAAAGCAGTCATAGCTGGCAATGACATTTTTGTGTTCCAAGCTCTCCTTAACAATGCAAAAATAAAATAAATAAAATAATAAAAAATAAATAAAATAAAAATAAAGTAAAACATATAGATGTTTCTGTCCACAGACTATGGATTACTTGAGAGATGGTTGAAAGTTTAATCTCATAAATTTGTGTTTTAATAGTAAAGTGCTCATTACTCACCACATAGTGCAGCATGTATACATTTCCATAAAATTAAAATGGACTTTATGTAGATTTTGAAAGGACAAATCTTGATTACTTTTGGTGTTTGCAGTTTTACTCAACAAAACAATCCAACTAAAGGTCAATGTTCTTGTTTCCAGAGAGCGTTCAGTCATGTCTCATTATTTTACTCATTTACTGGAGATGTTATGAAAACAATTTTTTTTGTGGAGGTTAAATGTAAGGCGACTTCATTCAGCCGAATAACCCAGAGTGATTGGCCTCCATGTGGAGTTGTTGTAGTTTGGCAGAGTTAAGTCCTCTGTGAGTAAACATGATTAAGAGATTAAAAATCATAATCCGTGTTTAGCTCAAAGGTTCTTTGTCAAAGAAAACATTTCACAATGAACGAGACTAATCCCGTTTACTCCGACTGTATAAAACATGGACGTAGTTCCAGTGAGGCCACCCTTTAGTTTCTGAAGCGGTGAAGCCCATCGATGGCAGTCGCCATATTGGAAATGCTGTCTCCACCTGACTATCAATCAGTCTAAAAAAAGGAAAAGAGCTGGCGCTAAGGCGGGCCTTCAGCTACACTGCGCCCACATGTCAATCAGATCAGCCACGCCCCTAATCATGCATAACTCTAGACTCCAAAATAGATCAGTATTTAAAAAAATTCAGCTCCACCCATAGACTTTAAATATGAATAGCCTGAGTGTCGTCACCCGTCTGTTCCTGCAGGGGGCGCTGGAGTCCCATCGATGGCGGTCTCCATGCTGGAAATGCTGTCTCAGGGCACGGTCACACTGGCCATCCGTACCGTGCCCAAGACACTTCAATACTAAAGTCCAGTTCATTTGACCGGTGTGACCGCTCCGTATCGTGCTCATGCACGGTGCACTTCATTCACGAGCACGAGCACGCCGGTAAACAACGCTGACCGCCTTCATTCAGGAGAAATCCAGAGTTTCATGTCTGTATCTGAATAACATGACTCAATATAAAACACAAAGTAGCTGTCATGCTCTGTGTTGTTCTCCGATGTGCGGGCGTCCGCGCGGACCTATGGCACGGACTCGCGCGTAGACTCGGCTGCACGTCTATTTTATTTATTTATTTATTTATTTATTTATTTATTTATTTATGGCTGTGTCTGTTTAAAATGGCTTAAAATAAGCTGTAAAGTCAGTAAAGTAGCTGTCATGCTCTCTGTGTTTGTCTCTTTTTCTCTCTCTGTCTCTCTCTCTGTCTCTGTCTCTCTCTCTCTCTCTCTCTCTCTCTCTCTCT